TTTCATTGCTGGAATGCCTCCCCACTTCACTCATTATGTTGGATCCAAAGTCAGTTGCAGCATGGGTGAGGCACATGGCTTAAAGGAGGAGACAAGGCTCAAAGCTGGCAGCTGCAAATCCTCCTGAGCAGGGTTGGGTGTTGGACGGGCTGAGCACTCCAACAATGTCCAATTGGGCTGAAATTTGGATATGTTGTAGTAGACACCCATTTGAACAAGTTTCATGAAGATCTTCACCTCATTCGAGCCCCATAGCATGCTGATCCAAGGCCAAGAAGTTGACCTACGAAATTGGGCTGGAAAGGGGTTGTAGCCAAAATGTGTTTGTCTTTAAGCTCATATTCCTCATATGCCAATCAGCCCTTAACATGCATGGATTGCATCAAATGTTATCTCTTGCTATCTTAACCTACAAAACACACAAACATAGGTAAGTGACTCAAAATAAAGAGAAACTAAGCAAAATCACTAAGTAAAGAAGGCATGCAAGTGTATGAAATTATGGACTTATCAAAATAGAAAATGAATTAAAAGCACAAGTTTAACTCAATAACATAACCAAATCATAAGCTAGAAGGGTACAAAATGATATACAATTATGAACCGATCAGACATAAAAAGAGAAGGAGAAAAAAATGTTGAAATGTAGGAGTTTTTAGTTCAAATATTAGATACTAACCTACAAGATTAAGGTACCCAACCAAAGGGAAGAAGATGGCCAAACGAGCTCAAGTGTCCAAGAAGGCCAAACTGAATGAAGTGCGATTTTACCGTCTAAAGGCCAAATCCACAAGTTAGAATTAGATACAAACTTGGAAAGGTAGGACAGAAGCAGTAGGCTGCTGTCAGATTGGTGTAGCAGACCAAAACCACTCTAGAGGAATTTCCAGCAATAAGAAAACATGAAAAAAGAGATAATAAGCAATAGGATCGAAGTAGGAACGTCGATAAGACCCCAAGAGGAACTCTGAATCTGATTTTCTGCATAAAAGTCTGTTAACATGAGAGTGATTATAATCATGGACATTCTATTTCGGAACCTCTCAACAATGTAAAGGCGGTCAATGATACAGACCATCAAGAGGCAGAACCTTGAAGATGCTGAACTATCAGTACAAGTTAGCAGGTGCTGATGATAAACCAGTGCAAGTATCGTCAGATGCTTCACTATCTGCAAGTATCGTTTCCAACGAATGATGATGGTGCTAAGCTAAAATTATAAAAGTATTTGTTTTTTTAATAACAATTAGAGCCACAACCCAGCCTACCCTTTTCCAGGCTTGTAGCTTGTAATAAGCTCCCTATTCTACTGTCTTATTAGTTATAACTAAATTACTTTATTTTAATTATAAAATTTGAGGTTGAGATTAGTTCATGCTCTTCATATCTTATTTTTGTGTCGCCTCGCTTCCTAGTCTTCATCCTCATAATTTTTTTTCCTTTGGCTTCTTCCTCCTTTTTCCTTAGAATTTTATCATAAAAGGGAAATGGTGTGTGGGTGCGGATTCACACTTGTTTGGTAAATTACTTGGAGTTTTTGGGTGCGGGTTCACAATCATTTGGGTTGGTAGCTTTGTAAAAAATTTATGTTTGAATGTTCGTTTTGCTTTAGCATTCCACTGTCATTGATCCAACTTGACCCTTGTTTCTTAAAATCAAGATCAGTGGCGGACCTATTAAGGCGCAAGGAGGTGCTACACCTCACCTCGTCAGAAAATCCATAAGAAGTGCTGCATATTACATCTCTGCTTAGCTTTGGAGTTGAAGCATAGGTGTTTGACGAAATGCCTAAATCAAGTTTTTGTTTCTGGGCGCTATAGCCAGTGATCAAGACCATCATATTTATCGAAAAGCCAACATAGTCGCTAGTAGTCACGCTC